AGTGCACAAGTTTTATTCTTATATCAATAACTTTTGGACGCATAAGACAGGTTCTAAGTCCTTTTATGGCCAAGGCTTCTACGAATTTAAGTAACTGTAACTGTACTTTGTTTAAAGGCATTATCGAAATCAACCTTATGACCCTTGTCTATGATATGCTTCGCTATGTTGTGATGTTGGACACCTATTTCCGGAATCAGTTGTATCCGGTGATTTTATTTGTTGTTACAGCATCACTTTGGAATATGTTTTGTAGCCCTAACCTACAGAGACCAATGGGTCCTCCCTATGCGCGTATGTTCACACACACACACACACGTGTAAATTGATAAACACAATAGGATGTGACACTATCGTTCGGATGCTGTCAGCGTTTACATAACAGCATACTTCTTGTTTTCTCTATGAAAATAAGTCTGGCTGCATAGTAATGGGTTCTATTAATTGCCACCTTAACTCTTTTTGTTTAGTGACCAGACTTTGTTGATCACCCCTGAGAACAGCAAGGATATATATAAACATCCTTTTTGGGAGAGCTGACTGACTGGATCGATAGAGCTCTTTGTCTGACACTTCTGTAACGCTTAATGAATCTTAACGGATGGTTGTTATCTGACAATATTTCAGTCAGATGTTGTGTTTCTTCTTCAATCGTATCGGTTGTACATATATGATGAATGCGTCTGAGCAAATACTTCACCAACGCCTTTTTATGCTATAGGGGACAGAAACTACAATCATTTAAATACTGGCCCATCCGTGTCTACTTTCTACAGACAAATCGTTTTATTGATCCATCCTTGTCGGTGGGTTATGAGTACATCTAAAAATGGCGAGTAATCATTATTCTGATTGGACACTAGTAACTAATGTGACGTATCTAGTCCTTTCTTTGATACAGACTGAATTCTATCAGTCAGGTTTGTAATGTGGCCACCATTCTGGATAGCTCACCATCACGGTGTACATTGATTTGATGATATTAGATAGTTAGAGGCAATCGGCCACAGGAAGCCTTCGACCTAGGACCTAGGTTTCGTGCTAGTTGGCACTCACCACCAGTCAGTAAGGCGTATCTGCAACTGCCTTGAAGGAACCCATATTCCACCTCTCTGAGATTCGAACCCGCATCACCCAGTGCTGGCTGCAGTCAGAGAGCTTACCACTGAGCTAGCTATTTGGACTCGCAATCGACCTCCTGTAGGACTGTAGTGGGTATTTCAACTGGACACTAGCAAATTGTGTGACGTGCTTTGAAATAATAGAGAAGATTTGTAGCTCAGGTGGATGATTTCCAATTAATAGTGTTCTCTGAGCTGGAGCTTTCGTCGTCCCCCTGCTGGACAACATCTTCAGCGCAGTTTTTAGCATAAAGTGAACTGATTTAAATTTTTCATGAGTGACATAATTGTGTCTCCCGGTAACCATCTTTACATCTGTATTGATCATTTTCTATTGACTTGGATTTTAAACCTTATGGTCACCTGATTTACTTTTTATTAGTTGGTATATTTCGTCTATATTAACGTGCCTGATAATTGCATTTTCGTTTGAGTACCAAGCAAACCAAAAGATCCAACAGAAAAAGGAGATAAAACTAATACCATTTACAAAATAAATTGTATGAACTGTAACAAGCATTACATCGGCCAAAGTGGGTGTCCCCTTCGAATTAGAATCCAAGAACACAAATCAGCCGTGTAAAGACATGATATATATTCTTTCATATCAATGCATGTAGACAATTATGGTCATCAGTTTGATTGGAATAATGCTGAAATCCTAGACAGAGAAAATACCAAAAGTGCCAGGGAATTCTTGGAAGCCTGGTACTCAGACGAAAATGCAATGAAGAAGCACCTTAATATAGACGAAATTTACCAACTAATAAAAAGTAAATCAGGTGACCAGAAAGTTTGAAATCCAAGTCAATAGAAAATGGTCAATACATATGTAAAGATGGTTACCAGGAGACGCAATTATATCACTCATGAAAAATTTAAATCAGTTCACTTTATGCTAAAAACTGCGCTGAAGATGTTGTCCAGCAGGGGGACGACGAAAGCTCCACAACTAAACCAACCAGCTCAGAGAACACTATAAATTGCAAGTGTGACGTGTCTAGTCCTTTCTTTGGTGCAGACCTGACTGATAGAATTCAGGCCATATGATTTGAAGTATATCCCCTCAATGGTGCAGATATGCAATCACTCTTAACGATCTCTCCCATACTTCTTTTGAGTTTCTTTTCTCTCATTTTGTCTGCTACATGGAATGTGGCGACTTGAAGCGCTGCAATACTCCTGTGCAAAGTTCTATGTTGAAACCCAGTCAATTAGTCAGTCAGTCACGTCTTTGTGTAGATGTTTTAGGAGTAGACATGAAAACACGAGGCTGGTGAATCATTTTCGTGTGATAGGTGGATCAATACTGAAGATTGACTGACTGACTGACTGGTTTCAACATAGAACTCAACACAGAAATTTAGCACTTCCAGTTTTTATACTCACTCCTATACGGGTCAGAAACTTGCACTGCTTGTGTGTGTGTGCCACGAAAAGGATTCCCAACAGACTACTGCAAACTTTCATCTACAGCTGCCACCTTCGCTGGCTGGCTCCATACTGAAGATCAAATGACCATAAAGAATAAGCAACAAAAAACTCTGCAGTGGAACAAACCAACAGGCAAAAGCCGATTTCTCAAGAAATATGTAAGAGAAAATGGAGATGGATCGGTCGGGCATACATTGAGGAGGCTGCCGAATGACATCGTACGCAATGCAGGTCATTGCTCGAGTGGAATCCAAATGGGAAGCGACGAGAAGGCCGTCGGTGTGAGGGTGACATGGTGGCGATCGTGTTATGGGGAAGAGATGAGAGAGTTTGGTCAATCGTGGGCCCAACTGAAGAGGACGGCAGAAAACAGAACAAAGTGGAGATGTGTTTTTGAGGCCCTATGTTCCACTCGGAACGCAAGGGAATAATAATAATATGATAATAGCCGTTATACTCCATGTAGTACACAAAGCAAGAGAAGAGAGTAAACAGAGGTTCAAAAGAGCGATAAGAAGAAGTGTGAGTGGGGGAAGAAGAATATCAGTTATGTGGAACAACAGTAGAGTTTTATTGGATACCACAAATCACAAAGAGTGAGTACATCTGCGCCAGCCAATGACAATGATGACTTTGATCCAAATCACCAAATGTCTCCAGCCATCATTGGTTTCTACTATCCTGAGGACCCCAACCAGCCTGTCAGGTAGTCTACACCTCCCCCCACGTGGCTGGCTGACTGGCTTAAACTAACTCTTATGGATTTCATTGACTGATGAGCCCATGTTTTCGCCTGACTATCACTGGCTCTTTTCCAACCTGACCAATGCTGAAGGTCAGATGGCCGGTGAGAAAGGATAGGCAACAACAAGCAACTACTCTGAAAGGTACACCAAACCAGCAGCCAACAATCTATCGTCCAACAAATATGCAGGAGAAAATGGGGATGAATTACACATATGACTTACACACATACTGACTTGTTACGAACAGGGCATAATCTCGTTGACTTAGAATATGCCAGATGATATAGTCTTCCATCCTAGTTGAAGACGCTGACAAAAAACCGAGCAGTCTTCTGAACACCTTAAGGAGCAGCAATCTACGAATGTTTGGTATGCGATTCGCTCCTGCTTTCAAATGTAAGATGATGCGACAGGACTGGACTGCACTACACTGACTTCTAGCTTAGAAATAGGAAGTGAATTGGTAGAGCACGTTGACCACTTCATTGATTTGAGAAGTTGCATTAGCTAACGCCAACGGGTTGATCGCTGACGAAATTTCCGCACGGATACAGAAGGCTCGTTTGGCAAATGCCAGTTTACGCCGTCTCTGGCGTAGACGTGATATCCGACTGCTCAGCACTCCGCTCCGTCCTCCTTTATGGTTGAGAGACCTGGTCATTGAGAGTGGAAGACATGAAAAGCCTGGTTAGCTGTCTTTGATCACAAGTGCCTGCGTTCTATCTCCCGTGTTACGTAGTGGTATAATAGGGTGAGCAATATTGAGGTTAGGGATCGATCGAGTGGTAGGCTAGGTAACTAGGGGAAATCAATAGACGAGGCTGCGAAGCTTCAGTGATTGAAATGGCTAGGACATGTGTTACGCATGCATGTCTAGCCATTGATCGCCTTCCTCGACAACGGGCATTGTTAGCTGACTGACATAGGATAGGTCAGATTGAAAAAGAGCCAGTGGCAGTCAAACCAAAACATAGCTTCATCAGTCAATGAAATCCACACCAGTTAGTTTAAGCTAACCACGTAGGATGATGTAGACTTCCTGGTTGAGGTCCTCAGGACGGTAAACACCAATGGCTGGAGACAATTGGTGATATGGCTGAAAATCTTTCTCAGCGATGGCGCAGATGCATCCACTCCTTGTGATTTATCATTTCCAATGAAACTATTTGGCTCTTCGGTATTACTATTCCTTTTATCTCATAATCCTGTTTATCGTCTCTATTTTGCATTTCTTTTTTACTTTCTTCTCTGGCTTTGTGTGATACATGGAGTGTGTTGAAAACAGACAGACAGATAGACAGACAGACACATATGAGCTGAAGAGACCGTTGAGTGACAACATCACATACCAGTCAGGCTGTCTGTCTGGATTCAACATAGAACTTGGCACCGAAGTGCAGAAGTTCGAGTTGCCACGTTCCAAATAGCACACAGTCAGGCTATCACTCAAGTTGAGCCTAAGTGGGAAACAACGCGAGTAGGACGGTGGTGATTCGAGATGGTGTCATGGAGGAGGAGATCACGTGAAACGGAAACGAAATCCCCCTGGGGAAATTGCAGAGACAGTTGAAATATAAGACTCTTTAGGGAATAAAATAAAACAGCGAGCGTTGTGTCACTGAAGTTATATGACTCACTCAGAACCTAAAAGATGGCTAATATATATATAATAACAATTGGAATGAAATACATGACTTACTGTGTTTTTCATGTAACTCTTGAATTACAGGATTCCATGCAATATACGAACGTTTCAATTGTTCATAAGTTGTAAAATAAATAGTAGTCTGTGGTACAACGGATATTAAACACGGACCAAGTCCTCTCCATAAACCGATCACGCCTTCTTCACGGATAAGATCACGCATACCCAACAGGAAACCAGAATAAATCTAAATCAATATACGGGAGGGAGAGTGAGAGAGAGAGAGAGAGCACGAGTTAACCCTTTCAATCATATTGCCTTAGTAATTAATTGTTATTAGCTAGTTATTCAAAGTTACATGCGTGTACTGATGGCTGGTAAGTAGTAGAGTCTAGGAAACACAAGTTCTGTCTCTCATCTCAATGAACTCCCAATTGAGATTTGAGCCCAAAGCGTTATTCCTCAGGCCGCTAAGCCATCATTTTATCATTAAAAACACAAACTTGCGACAGTATAGGCACCCAGAGATGCGGCACACAAAAATTTCTCATGGTTTGTGGGTGGGAGGACTGAGAAACTTGGAACGACGTTAAGAGAGAGGCCCAGAGCTCGTTGACTACTATTCAGTCTCATTGGGTCGGAATTCAATAACGACCGGTGAATTCTGACTTTTATCAATTCGTAACTTAAGCTGATACCCACCACATTGGGTTTGGGGATAAATAGTCAGTCGCCAACGATGACACTGGCTGGCAGTCGGGGCGAAAATCGTCTCAATCAATGAGTTCCGTTCCAAGAAGTGGTTGAATGGTGGACCACAGTTTGGCCTCCTAACGTATAGGTCTCAAGTTCAACTACTGGTAGGTGGTGCCATGTGTGTGTGTATTCTCCAGAAGAGTCACAGTGCGCACCCACAACTTCGGGGAATGGATGGAACGCGGGACCTTACCTTGCTTGGGTGAGGGCGGCGTTACATCACTGGTTTACAAAGTTAGAATTTTTGGGGGTCACTGGATTCCATCCAGCCCAGTGTAATTTTAGCGCATATACTACATCGCAAACCTGACTAACAGAATTCAGTCTGCACGAAAGAAAGGACTAGACACATCACACTAGTTACTAGCGCCCAATCAAAGTATGAAAAGGAGAATCTCCAGTTCCCGAAAGTAAACCTTTCCTGCAGAAACTCCAAGAGTGATATTCTCCCACCCACCGCCCACTACTTCGAAGCAATGTGATGGACAGACTTTCGCATATGACCACTTCAATGTGCATATATCAGTTCACCTGCTCGTGTACATCTAAGTACATGTGTCGTTCTATGCGGGTCCTATCAAAAAGTGTTAGAGAACATTACCCAGAATGGCTGTGGCTAAGAGGAGGTGTACTGGTTCACAATCATAAGCGCCATAACTGTGAATACCCCATCAACACCTGTCACAGGATCTTAACTGACTCATCATTTACAAAGTAAACAAAAAGCTAAATTTGTATTGTATATAGCTCACCCACCCACCCACCCACCTACAAATAACTGTATAGCTTTGAAGTGAACATTAGGGAAAGCGACGGATCACTTTCTGCTGACTTGCGATGTGTTCTTTATTCACATAACATAAGAAATTTTCAATCTGATGCTTGCTAGTGACTGGCTAGCTGCAGGAGGAAGTGTTGCACGGAGTTCTAGTGAGAAGTTGTGACCAGTGGAGTCTACTCAATCGGGAGTGAGGATAGAGTTTCCGCCGATGACATTGGCCGCTAAATTCACGAATTGGTAGAAGTTAGAATTCATGGGCTTCCCATTGAATCGTGGTCCCAGTGGCGGGATGAATGGTCGTCAACAAGCTTGCCTTGTAACCGAAAGGTTCTGGGTGCGTACTGCTAACAAGTCCCAAACCGGTTTTCAATGGTTCTCTAACTGATTGATATCAATCCATGGGCAAACTTGAAATTTTTCATAAATTAATTTTGAAACAAAAAAAAAACAATTGAAAATAAAATTCAAATAACCTGATTTTTCCCCTGTGCAATAAGACGTGTACGCATCACATCCAACGGTTCACAAACCGTCGATGCAATCATCCCAGTCATACAACCAGCGACAAGATCATTTAGCCAAATTGATGACTGTTTCGGTTTAGTTTGATCAATCAGAAAATTTTCAATTGCATAAAAACTTGCAAACTAAAATTGGAATAAAGAGCAGAGAAAATAAAATTAAAATAACACCCCATAATAATATTAATTATAATAATAATAATTTCATACAATGATTCCCTTTTATGAATTTGAACAAAGAGAGAAGAAACATTGGCGCAGAATAATCTGGATCCATTTTATTTCGTTGGTTCTCATCAGCTGCGTACAACCTGAATTTTTGTTATTAAAAATAAATAGTGTACAATTTTTTTTATCAAACCTTTGTCCATTAACAAGCATAGTGTCAGAGCGTCATAGTAAATAAAATAAGGCATTGAGATTTACAGGGTGTCTAAAGTGTCACGACATGTATATCTATATCTTGGTAGAGAGAAGTTTCTTGAAAAAAAAAAACACCTGATGGACACAGGACACCGAGTAGATGTGCTGGAATCATTCAAAATAACTAACAGACAAAGTACCTCAAGTCTTCTCAAGTTTGCTGAAGCTATAGCAATAAAACGATTGAAGCCTGACTTATGTCTCCAAAAAGAATCCGTCGTTGGACTTCAATTACCCTGGTAACTGACTTCTTAGTAACTCTTTGTTTTCTAATTTTGTTAACTTATCTTATCTCACTCCACCCCTCCCCTTTATGTTTCGTTTGACTCTCTTAAGAGATAATTTTTTTTGATCTTCTGAGTTCTGCTCACTGTATTACACCATCAACTTCTCATCTGACCTCATGTGCACCGTGATTTTAAAAATTTTGATCTTCTCTTATCTAATTACGTAACTATTGCTAATTGTCTTTTGTTACCACCCTAACAACACAACTGTTAACTAATTTTTTTTCAAGAAACTTCTCTCTACCAAGATATAGATATACATGTCGTGACACTTTAGACACCCTGTAAATCTCAATGCCTTATTTTATTTACTATGACGCTCTGACACTATGCTTGTTAATGGACAAAGGTTTGATAAAAAAAATTGTACACTATTTATTTTTAATAACAAAAATTCAGGTTGTACGCAGCTGATGAGAACCAACGAAATAAAATGGATCCAGATTATTCTGCGCCAATGTTTCTTCTTTCTTTGTTCAAATAATAATAATACTTAATACGACCAGTTCCAAACCTGTAACTCAACAACTTCATCGCCTTCCAGATGAGCTAGAGCTGCACTCTCAAACAAAAGGCCGAGCGATTCTGGGGTCATCACTCGTACCAAATTCCCATGAAACTTCATGAAATCTCTTCATCAGATCGCCGCGCCTGGGCCGCGATGATTCGAGATGTTCATGAAGCCGGCTCATCCTCCCGTAGGAGATAGCCGAAGTAAAGTAAGTAAGTATCGCCTTCCAAAAGGCCTTCGACAGACAGCGTTGACCAAGAAGTCATTTGGAAACATCCTCAACACTACGGCTTACCTCAAGTCTTTGTCAACCTCATTCAACAGCTGGCTATAAAACAATACCAGGTGTCAAGTGATCCACAAATGAAAACTCAGCGAGGTATTCGAAGTGAATACAGGGGTAAGACAGGGCTTTCTATTATCACCGATGATATTCTTAATTGTGGTGGACTGGATTATGCGTCAGACTGTGCGTCGGAATCGAGGAGACAGGAGTACGCTGGATCACCGATAAGAAGACTCTAGAAGATGTGGATTTCGCGCGTGGATGATATTTGTCTAATGTCACACAAACTCGAAGACTTACAGGCGAAATCCAACAAACTGGCTGAAGAAGCAGGCAGTGAATAGAGGACTCCAAATGAACATAGAGAAGACAGAGGTGAGGGAGATAACCAACCAACAGCAACGACAACAACCAGCACCAATGACCATCAACGGGAGAGATTTGATAGAGGTTACTTCCTTCACTTATCTAGGGAGCATCGTTTCAACCACTGGCGGAACCGATGAAGATGTCAGAACCAGCCAGAATCAGAAAGGTAAGATAAGCTTTCATCAACCTGAAACCAGTTTTGAAATCGTCTGCTCTCACTCGGCCTCAGCATAAAGAACAAGATTCGGATTCTGTTCAACACAAATGTGAAGTCAGTTCTTCTATACGGGTCAGAAACTTGACAAGCATGTCACCGAAAGCTTTTCCAACAGGTTACAGACTTTTATCAACAGCTGCCTTCGGTCTATGTTGAAGACCAAATGGCCGGCGGGTTAGTGACAATTATCAACAAGAAACTCCGGTGACAAACTAACCAAGACACTAGCGTTCAAAAAATTTGTAGGAGAAAGTGGAGATTGACTGGGCATTCGCCACTGAGGAGATCTTTTGTTGACATAGCACGCAATACAGGCCATTGCTCGAGTGGAATCCAAATGAAATTCAGGGTGACATGGAAAAGATAGTGAGAATTGGATGAGATGAGCGATCATGGTCAATCGTGCATCCAGCTGAAGAGGACAGAAGAAAACAGGACAAAGTGGAGATGTGTTGTCGAAGCCCTGTGTTCCACTAGGAACCCAAGGGAATAATAATAATAATGATAAAAAGCGCTGATTCATTCATCACCTAACTTCCTCGACAAACAATGTTATCTGAGATAAAATCACATCGGGAAAGTTTATGACTCAATTGCCTGGAATGCATCTTTCAAGTACCAAGGACTAAGATGGTGCTGGTTGTTAATGAAACTATCCAGTTACCCTGGCTGAAATAGGTAAGCAGACTAGGGATCGAACCCACAACCCATTTGGTTGAAAGCTGAATAGTGAAGCCAGTGAGATGCCTCTCTACACGGGGTCAGACGATGTGGAGAGTTAACAGTGATCAGATCAAGACAACACGACCGCAATCGACAAAGTTATTGACTACCGATTAAAAGACACAGGAAGTTGCACGCTATTATCTTGATGGCATCCCCCAATGGTTAAATTTATTTTTTTTGTTCTTTAAGTTCCGAGTGGAACATAGGGCTTCAAGCTAGAGCTCTGATGTTTTGGTAACAGTGGTCCTAATTTTTAAGGGGTAAGGTTGCTTGCCTCACTCCCACCCAACCTTCCCTCTTTACTGGCTAGACAGAGAGGTTTAGGAGTGCATCAGGCGGGGATCGAACCCCCAGACTCTGTGTGTGTGTGGTTGACCAGCGTTCTACCGCTGAACCACCGATGCACACTCAATGGTTGTGCGAGTACTAGTACACCATCCAGACGCTGAAGCAAATGGTTGTCTTTAAGGCGCCACACACCCCTCCAAGGCTTTCTTTGGCTTAAAATCTCAACCAAAAGTCATCAGTGGAGCACCTACTTTCCAGTGAACAAAACAAGTTCATTATACACTATTCGATCCACTCGGATTCTAGGGGCCCATATACACCATCTCCCCTCTCTCTGTCTCTCTAGATAGAACAGCAACTCCACAAATCCGGTTTTAAGCTCCACACGTTCGAATTCTCATTTTCACTTTTGCGAGGAACACCCCCCCCCGTCCGTCGCAGCCGCATGAAGGCAGGAAAGAAGCAGGCTATGAAAGCATGACCATATGATGAGAGCATTTCGAGAGTAAAACCTTGACCGTAGCAGGTCGTTTATGGGGGGGGGCTACACTTATTCTGTGATGCCACACAGCTGCCCACTCTGGAATCCAGGACTCATTGGTTGGAACTCAAAGTGCTTATACCAATAAGTATCTGAGGTGAAATGATGTAATACCCGCCCCCCCCCTCAACTATGGCAATGCGCCAATATGTATATATGAATATATCACATTATTGAATTACACCGACAAACAAAATCACTCACCTGTGCTCCACAAAATGTAACTGAAAGGAATTGTCCTGGTACATGACCTTTCCATAGGCCACGTATACCCTCTTCTGTATATATCCGAGAGAAGGCTTGTATAACACCGGAATAATAAGATTTTCCTGTGGGCTTAATATCTTCAACTTGTAACTTGATTATTGTTGTTATTATTATGACTAATTGGTTAATACAAATATATTGCTTACCTGAAAACGAATTTTCATAACATCTAATGGTTGGGTTAAGAATCGAACTGTAAAACCAGACAATCCACCAGCGATGAGATTTTTTGTATCATCTCGCATTCTTTAAGATTTCAGTATTCACCATACTATAATGCACATCAAAAAATACATAAGAATATATAGTCAAAGTATTATTAAGAGCACAATATTCTTCAGTGAAGAGACTCTTTTCAACAACGAATTTATTATCAAGCTGTACAATCGTATATATATACATGACTTTTAAGGAGTTATATCCGGTGAGGGAATTAGGACTAAGGTGTGAATACATGAAATAATAATAATAGTAGTGTGAAATGCAATTAAAACTAAAATGTTTGTGATTATAAACATAGTTAAATGTCAAGTAGCAAAACAATTAGTGTCATATATAGAATAATACATAAGATGCATAGATTTTGGAAAGGAGTACATAATTATAAGACTAGTAAACGAAAGTAAGATGTTACACAACGTGGTGTGAAATTTGATAAGATAGAATCCATTATTGTAAAAATAAAAATTAATGATTTTGGACTTCGAATGACATGTAGGAAGAGCAGAAAAAATTCAAAGCGAAAATAGTAATAACAATAATGATAATCGTAGTCATGAGGGAAAGGTACATAGAATAACTAAATAAACAAAATAAAAAAATAAATGTCTATCCCTCTATGACCAAGGCAGAAGTCGGGATTGTACATACTTCTTTTGCCCATAGAAGTCTCGCTTAAATTCATGAACTTCCAGGGCCTCCTTTGTCTTTAGAAGTCTGTAACGAAGAAAACGCGGCTGGCAAGTTAGCATGGATTCGCTGGATGATCTTAAAATCATGGTCAGGGTTGGTAGAGTGACAGAAGTCGATCAGGTGTTCTAGAATAGAACTTCGCACACACTTCCTTTCTCTCTTGTAAAACCATGCTGGAATATGTTCTCGTATCTATCTGTGGAAAGTGTCCTTTGGCTACGGCCAATCTACTTTGCTCCACAAGAGCAGGTGAACTGATAGATATCTATCCATGCTAACTTGCCAGCCGCGTTTTCTTCGTTACAGACTTCTAAAGACAAAGGAGGCCCTGGAAGTTCATGAATTTAAGCGAGACTTCTATGGGCAAAAGAAGTATGTACAATCCCGACTTCTGCCTTGGTCATAGAGGGATAGACATTTATTTTTTTATTTTGTTTATTTAGTTATTCTATGTACCTTTCCCTCATGACTACGATTATCATTATTGTTATTACTATTTTCGCTTTGAATTTTTTCTGCTCTTCCTACATGTCATTCGAAGTCCAAAATCATTAATTTTTATTTTTACAATAATGGATTCTATCTTATCAAATTTCACACCACGTTGTGTAACATCTTACTTTCGTTTACTAGTCTTATAATTATGTACTCCTTTCCAAAATCTATGCATCTTATGTATTATTCTATATATGACACTAATTGTTTTGCTACTTGACATTTAACTATGATTATAATCACAAACATTTTAGTTTTAATTGCATTTCACACTACTATTATTATTATTATTTCATGTATTCACACCTTAGTCCTAATTCTCTCACCGGATATAACTCCTTAAAAGTCATGTATATATATACGATAGTACAGCTTGATAATAAATTCGTTGTTGAAAAGAGTCTCTTCACTGAAGAATATTGTGTTCTTAATGCTACAATGGGAATTATTAAATTATTGAAAAGTATTATTAACCGAATCGACCATTTCACTATAAACACACACACACATCTACATTCTTCCCCTTTTGCTAGTCAAACTCCCATCCCATCTGTTCTCTCTTCCACAAGAGATACGAAAAATACACACTCAAGGAATCTGTTGACGAACAGTTTTGCCAACTAGCACGAAACTTAGGTTAAGCAAGGCTTCCTGTGGCCGATTGCCTCCAACTATCTAATATCATCAAATCAATGTACACCGTGATGGTGAGCTATCCAGAATGGTGGCCACATTACAAACCTGACTGATAGAATTCAGTCTGTATCAAAGAAAGGAAGAGACACATCACACTAGTTACTAGTGTCGAATCAAAGTGGTTTTCCACTTAGATTCATTATAGACAAGAATTTAAAACCATAGAACATTGTTGAACAGGTCCATGTCGTCCTGTTCCCACCTCCAGAAGACTTTGCTACCAAATTTCAATGTTAAAAGGCTTCAAAATCTCTCACAGTAAAGCATACTTAGTTGTGAGTCTACGAGTACCATTTTCTTCCAAGAAACTATTCTGCTAGCTATCACACTGCACCGCATTTACATGTATATACGGTCAAGTTACACTTTATGCACCACAGACTACCAGTGGAGTGCGACCGCACCAATGACCTCAAAACCCTCACTGAGTCAGTGAAACCTGGTAAATAATGTTATCATCATCAATAAAATATGCTCATCGAAGTGTTATGCTATTAAATGGGATTTTTAGCAAGTTTCAGCTTAGGTTTGGGAAAGATTAAGCTACGATTTAAGCCAAGGACAAGTTAGGGTTAGGTTAACCTAATCAAGGCAACATTAGGGTTGGTTCGAGTTCGACTACAGTTTGTTTAGATACTTTTGCTCGTTGGGATTAGGTTCAGGAAAGATTACTGTTATTGTTAGGTTTATAAGACCTAAATAATTACATGCATAGAATGTGGTTAAATTACTCTGTTGATGATATAAGAATAGAACTTGTGCACTGTGGTAGAGAGTATAATTCCATTGTGAATAAAATTTATTTTGATAAAGTCTCACAGTGTTATACAGTAATATTTACTGATGACAACGTTTCGAGCACAATTTATTGCTCAGGAAATATTACTGTATTACACTATGAGACTTTATCAAAATAAATTTTACCCACAATGGAATTATACTCTGTTGATACTCCAACCTAAAACTGAGAGCCAACGACTAGCATGCGTTCAAGGTCATTGGCGGGTTCGCACTCCTGGGACGCTGTTGTTGAACTTCGCCATATGTAATTCCATACATGAAAATGCCTCCTTCACGTGACTGGTGCATTCGAGGTCATTCGCTGATTGGTAGTTAGTGGTGCTTAAAGTTTAACTTTGCCCAAGTGTGTGTGTATATATTTCGGTGATAGAACACATCTGGTGAACTCAGGACACTCAGCTCCACTTGGAAAATCCCTTCGAAGTCCTATATAAGATAAGATCCAACACCTTAAAAGAAGTGAGATCAAGATATATGAACATAGCCGAAGTATTAACGATTTAATAAAATTAGAATTAGGCATAGAAAACCAATTACTAATCCTGAAAATATCGTAGGAAGATACCATTAAACTAGCAATTTTTAAACTGAATATACATATTAGCTAACTTGACAATGCTACTAAGGTCCAAAAGCTTAGCGTAAATAATCAGTACTTGAAGAGAATAAAGCGATTGACATGTGTAGTAAGCGGCTTTCTGAATTGACTGACTGAATTTTAACATTGCACAGAAGTGTAGCAGAGTAAAAAGAGGTACAAAAGAACTACACACTGGGCAAAAGTTTACTGGAGGAAGAAATTCTAACATGAGAAAACATGAGGGGGTTTAATGGATCAGGGGAATTAAAGTGAGTGAATGCATCTGTGCCATTGAGAACTGTTTTGAGCCATACCACGAATAATCTCCAGCTATTGGTCCTTAGCATGGTCCTGAAGACCCCAACCAGGCAACACCTACACCTCTCTGCGTTGCTGACACCAGCTGTCAAAGGCAAGAGGGACTGATTTCAGGGGTTTTGACTTGACTGTCCACTCCTAACTTCTCCGAATTAATCCAATGTCAGTAAACACAGCTTATCGAAGAAGGCGATGGCTTCGCATGCACAACATGCACATCCTAGCCACCTCAATCTATTTGCCTTTATAACTTGATCGATCGACTTCCGATCGTCGCCTAGCACCCTACGCTTAGCCTCTTGATATCTTTCACTTTCAATGGGCATTTCCCACTGTTGCACAGTACATACGTACGTCTTTCAATGAATAGCCGTATATCACATCTACTAAGTCAGAGATGCTGTTTTATTTGACAAATGGCAAACAAGCCTTTTATATCCATGGTAAAATTTCGTAAGCAATCAGTCCATTTGGAGGGGGAGGAGGGGGCTGATGCAATTTCCCAAATACGTGAAGCGGTCAACACGCCCTGTCAACTTCACTCCTTATCTTCAAACTAGCAATCAATTTAGTCCAGTTCTACAGCATCGTTTTACAGCTGACAGAAGCGAATCAGATGCTAAACATTTGATGATTTGTGTTCAAGGTGTCCAGAAGACCCCTTATTTTGTCGACGTCTTCACCCCTAGGAGGACAATATCATCTTTATACTATAGGTTGATAAAACTCTTCTCTGACAATGAGTCAATCCCTAAGTCACTAAATACTTTTAAAAAATGTATATATATATACTGTCACATATTTCTGTTAACGGTTACAATTTGATGATTAACATACACAAGTCTATTTGATAGTTAGACTTCTTTGCACAGATATGAAGCAGTTCCAGTTGCCACACTCCCTCCATGTGGCACACAAAGCAAGAGAAGAGAGTAAAGAGAGAAAGAGACAATGAACAGAAATATGAGGAAAAAGGAATCGTAATATGGAAGAAAAATAGAGTTTTATTAGGTATGATAAAACACAGAGAGTGAATGCACCTGCGCCATCACTGAGAACAACTTTGAGCCATATCAACAATTGTCTTACCATCTCGAGGACCCCAACCAGACTGACAGTTTACACCTCCCTACGTGGCCTAAACTAATTGTTGTGGATTTCGTTTAACCACCACTAGCTAACTCTTTTACAACCTCATCCATCCTGTCAGCTAACATTACCCGTTGTCGAGGAAGGAGATGGATGGCTAGACATGCATGTGTAACACATGTTCCAACCATCTCAATGTATGCAGCTGCTTCACAACCAACTCGTCGATTGATTTCCCTTTCTTACCTAGCAATCAACCGATGCCCAACCTCAATATTGATCACCTTATTACACCTACCACCTAACACTGGAGATTAGATTCAGACGCCTATGGTCAAAGACAGCTATCCGGTCTTTTCATGTCTTCCACTTTCAATGACCACGTCTCACAGCCATAAACGAGGACGGAGAGGACTGCTGAGCAGTACACACGCCCTTTGGTCGATAGCCGGAAATCACGTCTACGCCAGAGACAGCGTAAACTAGAATATTCTAAACGAACCTTCTGTATCCGTGCTGAGATTTTGTCAGCGATCAACCCGCTGGTGTTGGCTGATGCAACTTCCCAAATAAGCGAAGTGGTCAACACGCTCAACAACTACTTCACTCCCTATCTCTAAGCCAGGAGTCAATGTAGTGCAGTCTAGTCCTGTAGCATTACCTCACCTTTGACAGGAGAGAATCGCATGCTAAACGCCCGAAGATTTCTGCTCTTCAAGGTGTTCAGAAGACTCTGCTGCATTTCTTCAGCGTCTTCACCTGGGAGGTAGGACTATATAATCTGTATATTCTAGGTGAACGAGATTATTCCCTGGTAACAAATCAATCCCTCAATATTTTAATGGTCGTTCCTTTTCCATTTCAGTTATAATGATGTCTTAAGGTGTAACAAGGTCTTTGATATAGGTCAGCACTGATTGTTCTTTATTGTTCACCCTGCTTATTTTTCCCTGGATTTCTCAAAAAAAAGCCATATCATATTACGTAAAACACTGAAGGCTGTAAGTAGGGGGGTAGTGGGGTGCACCATTGAACCAACTAACCAACATTATTGTAAGAAGGCACTTCAATTCAATTCTTGCAAGTAGTTGGCTAAAGTTATCTTGTTGTATAGCGAACATCCTCTTTATGGTCAGCTTTTTCGTTGTATATCTTCGCATAAAACCAGAAGAAACTTCTTACGAATTTATGCTCGTACAACTAAATATAAAAATTCTACTATACTAACCATATTCAGCACGGGTTTCGTGTAAAAAGTCATATGTCAGAAAAGAACTTATAAACTTTTTAAATCAGGAACTGGACTGCAAAGTATGAGGAAAGACTATTATTATTATTATTATATGTGTTATCTATGATACCATCTACTTACACTTCATTATGTTTCCACTAACATTCTGTTTATAGTGTTTTCATTACTAATATTATTCTTACTATTTTAAATTTTACGTATGTGGATATTTATAAAGGGAACTAAATTGTTGTAATATGTGAAAAAATCGCTGAAAATTCCATTCTGTATAACTAATATTGTTTGGAATAAAGTGATTAATATTATTATGCACTGATAGCCCTCCGGTAATAAATTTATGATGATTAGTTATTGGTCAGATTTCTTAAATGTAAACAAAGTGAGGAGATGGGGAAAAACAGGCGATGAATAGTTCACTTAGTTGAAATATTTCATAAACAGAGGGTAACCACTGTTCAACACGTTTTTCCCCAGAGTAGTAGCAAAGTGCTTCCAACAAAGCTTAACTTTTCAAGAAATAAAATTGAACAGCCAGGTCACCTAGACGTATACTATTTTTTTATCCTTCACGTTCCCAGTGGAACATAGGGCTTCAAGCTAGGGGCTTGAAGTTTCTGTAGCAGTGTTTATTTTACAGGATGAGGTTGCTAGCCTCATGTCCAACCTTTCCTCTTCACCAGCATTATTTCTGGCTTAGCGAGGTAAAGGAGTGCGTCGGCCGGGGTTCGAACCCCGGATCATGTGCATGGTCGGCGAGCGTCCTAACCGCTATGCCACCGACGCACACGTATACTATTTACAAGCAGTTAATTGACTGAATCTATCATATTCCCAGCTAGCATTGACTTTGGGCGCACTGAAAATGCTTTGAGGCAGACTGCAGATACTTGTCCCGCTTTTTGCAATGCGCAGGAAGTTTTTTGCCCCGAAATGTCGGCAGTACGTCCCTGGAGGAGACTCATCGAGAACGTGCATTGTCTTATCAATGACGGTGGTCGTGTCATCGGTATCTGAGCGGCAGTCACTCTTCTCCTGTAGTGGGGGACGTTTACTGCCCAGGAGCTTTAGTGCTCCAATGAGCATTGTAATGGCTTCTTTAATATGGAACTCAGTTGTACTGCAGCAGTCACTGAGCAGCCAGATCGCCAGAGGTTTGCAGCAGCGCTTCTATTCTGCAAGGGTTAGGTTAGTACATACGCTGTGAAACCATCGCTTGCAGCTATCACACTGCACGCCTTCTTCAGCTGTGAATCGACACATAATTCTTACGCAGCGGTTTCTTTCGACAGGCATACTCTTGAAAGTGAATTGGAAGGATATAATTTAAATATGACCGTTAGGGAGAAAAAAAGAATGCGTTTACAAAAAATGGATATATAATAACCATAATGTTAAAGGAACAAACTTCCTACGAGTAAATAGACTCAAAACTATAAAGAGAACTAACTTCGACCAGAATAAACTGAGCCATACATTGCTCAAATAAGTCAGAAAACTGATGAAAACATAGCTATGTACTATGGTGTCCCGAGATGCTATAATAATTCTGACTTTGCGCTTTATGTTATAGTTTAACTTAGTCCATCTTTTCACGATAGACGACAATGACCTGATGTAAACACAGGCTTCTACATTACAGAGATTTCAGGAGGGTAGCGTTACCTTTGCAAACCGCGCTACAATCGACCTTTCCAATATCCAATATCGTTTTTACGAGCTAGCATAAACCAATTTGATTTCTTTGTGCTTGCCTCTTGATTGTGAGGTAGAGGTTCCTGATCTTCGGTAAACGTCTGCGTAGCTCGTCCCGCCACTCGACTGTCGTAGCTTTGGTTGACTCCAAAAGGAGTATTGCAGGGATTAATTATATGTGGTTTGTAGTATTAGGTGTGTTAAGACTGTTACTACTGTGAATGGAGCTGATCCTTTCACCAGTTGTTCCTTCGGTATCGTCGTCAATAGAAAAGAGATAATAATGATAATAGATATAATTAGTGAAGGTATTCAGACTAACAGACAGAAAAAGAATAAGAAAACGTAACAACAGTCAGTCAACCGGTATACATAATATATTATACATATATATATACCAGTAATAATGATAATAATAATAACAATAAGTGTAGTTAAAGCTGTCAGGAGAGTAAGACGGAAGAGAATGTAAAGAAGTAAAACGACCAGTTTAATTGTCTACCTTTGAATGTTGTATGCGATTCTAAGGGGATAGGCCATTTGGATGAAGTCCTTGTGTCGCTGCATGGTTGTCCAGCCTTCGCTTAAAGGCGTCCACAGATGGTGCCATAGCTACATCTGCCGGTAAGGAATTCCAGGGACGGCAAACCGCAGGGAAAAGAAGTGGGAGCGCACCCGGGTCCTTGCCCTCTGATGAGCTATCATTCTAGGATTTCCACGAGGGAGCCTACACCTACTCAATGGCAGAACACCTTTGTTTGGGTGATTCTGATCATTTGTTATTTTGTAGGCAGTAATTAAATCCCCCTAAGACGACGGTAACTAAGTGTGAACAGGCCTAATTTCTTCAGCCTTTCATCATATGGTTAATTTTGGAGACCAACCACTCCTTTTGTTGCCCGTCGTTGGACTCTTTCCAATAGGTTGGCGTCTCTTCTAAGCAGTGGGGGTGCAGTGATATTGTGCACTTCAAGGTGCGGTCTGACGTATGTTTTATACAACCTTAGAAAATGCTCAGGAGTTAGTGCACCTAATTGTCTGTGTATAAAGTGTATGACCGCATATGCCCTCGCTACATCCCCCGTGTAATTTACGCTTGTGTCCATTTTCTCCGTTAGAACTAGACCTAAGTCACGTTCCGACGTTGAGCAGGACAAGCTTTAGACCCTAATACCCAATATTCTTTCTAATAGTGAGTGCGAACTAAAGTGATTTCTGCATGCTACCTTCTTCATTTTAATTTAAATGTCTATGATATGCGCTGAGCTTTCACGCAGTTTGTTTCGTTACTCGACTGCTATCGCTTTGGTTGGTTCCTGAAGGTTGATTTGTGGCTCTCTTTAACAATAATAGTGATTTATCTGATTCTAAAACACTACTGATGTTACAGTGTGCAGTTTTCAGCATCTGATACAATACTGTGTCTAATTTTATCGAATAAAATTAGAAACAATTTTAGGAATAATACAACAGGATTGATAATGGTAGTTCTTATTTGGCATTTGTAGTGACTGTAAAATCATATACGTACAAAAATAGTTGCATATAATAATAATAATGATTTACTTTATTCCAAAAACAGTACTTGTGATACAGAATGTAATTTTCAGCATTAATCACAATATTGCATCTAATTTCCTCAAATTATAAATAAAATTAATCACACAGAAAATTTTTCTACATTTACAATAGGGTTAATATTTAAAAAATAAAAAACATGCAGCATATAAAATGGAAATAATAATAATGGTAGCAGCTAAGGTAATGATAATAATACAAGTGGAAATTGCCGTGGGCTTGTTTCACACAGTATTGTCGATGCGGTATACAAATCCTTGCATGATTAAAAATATTGAATATGATGCTCTATTTACATGATATGGTGGGGGAAAAAACAAAGATTACAGCAGTCATAGAGATAAGTTGGTGTTTGCAGTTATGAAAGTGAAAACAAAGAATCAACAGGACGATAAATATAATAGAAATAATAAAAGTAAAACTTCAAGGTATATAAAGATGGATGGAGGAGATTGTTTATTTACTAGATGAAAAAAGCTAAGTCAATTCTTGCCTGACGCTATTTTCATCACATAAAATACGTGCCAAGTATGGTATCATAGAATTTTTATACTTAGATGTGCGAGCATACAGTTTTCTGAAGTTACTTCTTGTTCTACCTGAGGAGATGCAAGGTGAAAGCTGAGGGTGAAGTGGATGCTCCAAGTCAGACGAAATCCCTTTAGCAAATTTACTGCTCGAAGTCAACTGCCTATCGACAACGACGTTAACTATGTAGTCCACTGGGACACCACTCATCCTACTGACAGTCTTCAGCATTCTACGAATTGTGACAAAGTCCTTTTTAAGCAAACCAGGAAAGAATAAGGGTGAACAATAGAGAAGAATAGGTTGGATTCAAGAGTTTATGAACTGTAAGAGGAGGGGTTGAGTTATACCCGAGTGCCTTAACTTCTTAATGTAAAATGTCAGGCGGAATATTTTACTGGAGATCGCTGAGACATGGGAAAACCAGGAGAGATCAGAAGAGAGAATAAGTCCAAGATACTTAATTTCTGATTTAATTCCTATATCATTGTCATCAATCTTACAACTGTCATGAGAATCGACGGCTTCTTTTAACTGTCGTTTACATCTTAAGCTGAAATTAACAGTTTGACATTTAGAAGGATTCAGTTTAAGACCGTTAGACTCAGACCATTTACTGACTCCCGACAGAAAGCTATTTATTTTGGTACAATCTAGCTGGGAGTTAACAGCCATTGAAACTGTTAAATCATCAGCGTATTTCACAAAGTTTATTTCATCAGAGTGAGGCAAGTCATGTAAGAAGAAAGAAAAAAGAAAAGGAGAAAGGACAGCGCCTTGAGGGACACCAGCTTCAATAGGCAATGAAGTGGAAGACTTTCCTTTATACACGGTGTACTGCTTTCTTTCTGAGAAATAAGAATGTAATCAGTTAACAGCCCAACATTCTGTTTGACTTGCAGCAAGTTTATTTAATAAGATGTCCCTAGGGACCGAGTCAAAAGCAGATGTATAGTCTAGGAAGGCACAACGAACAAATTTAGCCCCTTTGTCTAGACTGGAAGCAATGTTATGATATAAGACGGCAGCTGCATCTAAAGTGCTACTACTGTGTTTATAGGCAAACTGTTTTGGGTCATTAAAGGGTTTAAGAGAGGGTACAAGACTAAGTAAAAGTAGTTTCTCCATAGTTTTCAAAAAAGGAGAGGTAATAGCAATGGGTCTAAATTTGACACATGCTCCAGTAGATGATTTAGGTATGGGTACAACTTTAATGTATTTCCAAACAGCAGGCACAATATTACTGGAAAAAGATTTGTTAAACAGATCAATGAGAGGGTAACATAGAATATCAGAACATTTTTTGAAAATTATTCTAGGTACATGATCTGGACCTAAGCTCTGAGAAGGGTTCAGAGTCTTGAGGCACTTTTGAACATCATTTGTGTTAAAACCTGTAAAGAGGCTATTACTAACACTAGTGATACTGGGAAGCATGGAATTTGAGGGAGAATAAATAAAAGATTTATTAAGAGTACATACATCAGAAGAATACGGAATATTGTTTATCTGCTTACCACCAGTGATTTCCTTAAATAATGATAAGGTTGGTAGCTGAGATTGTCAGTTAACTAAGATACTGCCACTACAAATTGCTAATGGGAGATAATAAAAGAGCCGATTACTTTGCTAATAACATAGTAATTCATAAGTTTCACGCTTAACATTCTCTATTGCATAGAACACGGACTGGCCAAATATGGTACCGTTGTTCTTATACCTGGTAGCACGAGCATATAACTTTTTTTACTGACTTCTAGTTCTACCGCATGAGATAAAAGAGGAGACTGAGAATAGAGTAGTTGTCGAGGGTCAGGAAATATAGATTTAGACCATTTCTCGCAAGAGTTCACACGTCTATCAACCAATGTTGTGACAAGCTAAGTTGCACACTACTTGCCCTACTGACAACCTTTAATACCCTTCTCAAAATGACAAAGTCCTTTTTAGTATCCCAGGAAAGACTAGGGAGGAGAAGTAAAGTACAATAGGTAAAATCTAGCAGTTCACAAGTTGTAGAAGCAGAGAGTGAGTGACCTTGGTGGCCTGTCTGAAAGTCGGACTACCTATTCTTCCAACTACACATTGCATCTCTCCTTCACTCTATTGTTCTCTCTCTGAACCGTCTGGGTGTGAGAAAGATTACGTGGGAGCCAGTAGTAGAATAAAACATACGATACATAGTAGCGGTTTCCAATGAGTCAGTTTCGTGGTTTAATGACTCAGTGGGAGGGAGCAAGATAAAAGAAGACCCACTTACTGCTTAAGAAAAGGGAAAAATCGGTATGCGGTGTGTTACTGGAAGCTTTAAATGTGAAGTAAACGAATATGCTCTGCTAAATGAATTTCTACTTTAATGGTATGCAGTAAAATAAGCTTGGAAACGACAGCCTTACTACAGAGGCTCTTATAAATGTCAAATTGTAAACCCTTCACCGTCAAAGTATAGCGACAACAAACTTCGTTCCGTTTCATGCTGATAGTTGTGGCCAACCAGTGAACAGCATATATCTCGGTAAGTGCTATGCCACCACGTAATTGAAGACTATTTCAGGAAGAGAAGAACGTCCTGCAAAGCACAGCAGTAAGCTTCCAGTTAAACACACAAAGAAGCATTGTTACAGCAATGGGTAATTTCCAATCCGTATGCTGCCAGGATCCAGAATAATGGCGAATTAATCAATATAAAATGATAATGGGAGCATGTAGGCTCTCGCAATTATCATCGCGCGAGTCAGTGGGATTTCAAATGAGACCATCTGCATATATTCATTATTTCCTAAATTACCAGACGTATAGGCGCCAAACAGGTGGTTATAGAGATTTTTGATTGGTAACCAGGTTCGAACTGATGCGCCACAGGTTTTTTGTTGCTACGT